GTGGGCTCGGGCCCCCGTGGGGGGCGCGCAGGAGGCAGCCGGTCCATGATTCTCTCTCCTCACGGGTGTTTCTACTCCCTCTCCCTCTCCCTTCCTTCCTGAGATCAATAAAAAAATATTTTCAAAAAAACGGAGGTTTTGAACCTGACCCTGAGGTTTGAAGATGCTGAGAATCCCCTACCTTCGTGTGCTGATGCCTCCATTCGTTTCTGTCCACGTTCTCCTGGGGACATGGCCACCCTGGTGAAGAGGAGGGGGTGGCTGGGTGTGTGCTGCTGAAGGTGTGGGTCTAGTGAGGTCTCCCCCCAGGCCCCTGGGGCGTCCTGAGTGGCTGGCATTTCTCCACCAAGTCAGTAAGCAGGCCTGGGGCTCGGGGCGACTGGCTTCTTTCTCCCAGACCCTCGGGAGCCCTGCGCCAGTGGCTGCCGGAGGAACGGGGGTTTACACTGTCTGGGAGCATAGCCCCCGCTCAGGTGTCCTCCCCTCACCTGCCTGGGCCCCCTCAGCCCTGCATTCGCCTCTGCAAGGGCCTACACGAGCTAGGCTGCAGCGCCCAGGGGATGTGCTGGGCTGGGGATGTGCCCTAGTACCCCCGCCCCCAGGGCCACCACACGTCCGCTCCTGACGCCTGACTCCGGTCTCAGCCACGTCTCTCATTAGCATTAATGAGCCAGACTAGGGACAGAGGAACATTCTAATTGTGCTTCTCACTGCTTCCCAGGACGAGGATGAGTGCCGCCCAAGTTTCTCTGTGGACGCCAGCGAGAGGAACAGGGTTTCCAGGGACTCCGCCACACGGGCCCCACATGGAGGGGCGTGCGAGGAGCATCAGCTGGCAGAGCCAGCCCTGCCCAGGCTGACTCCTCCTCTCAGAGATGCCAGGGCGGAGAGGAAGGTGGGTGCCAGTGCCAGGAAGGGAAGGTGGTGAGGCAGGTGGGTGGGGGAGTCGCCGGGGCCCCACCCAGGGCAGACACACCCCTGACCTCACTTTCCTGAGTGATGGAGCTTCCAGGAGCCGGAGTGATGAGGCCAATGTGTTTATTGAATATATTTTTATTGATTTCAGGGAAGAAGGGAGAGGGCAGAGAGATAGAAACATCAATGATGAGAGAGAAGCATTGATGGCTGCCTCCTGCACGCCCCCGACTGGGGATAGAGAGCCTGCAACCCGGGCATGGGCCTGACGGGGAATTGAACTGTGACCTCCTGGTTCATAGGTCAGCACTCAACCACTGAGCCACACCTGCCGGGCGCACACGCGTTCTGGACGTGCAGCCACGTCCTGACTCCATGACTTGGTGATCAGAGAACGTGGCCGCCCGGGCTCTCAGCACATAGAATGGGGGCATCAGCGTCTACCTCCTGGGCCCAGAGGCTGAAGGAGAACACGCCGCCTCTAGGTTGATTTTCCAGGTCAAAGGGTAAAGGGCACCCACTGTGTCCTGGTGGCGACACCTCCGTGTGTGTGGGGGCACCTGGCTTGGGAGAACACAGCCTCCCTCGGGTTGGGAACAACTTTGCCAACACCAGGCCAGGGACCATGTCTGCAGCCTCGCCCTGTGGGAGCAGCAGGATCCCCCCTAACAGACGAGGACACTGGGGCACAAAGCGGCCAAGTGCCCATGGGCCCCCGGGGCCCCCAAAGGCCCAGAGCCCCTGAGGCCTGCCCAGGCCCCAAAGGCACTGCGAGAAGCCACCTCAGGCCCCCGAGGACCCCTCCCTCACCCCTACCCACCCACAACCTGAAATAAGCCCTCCCGGAAACAGAGATGAACACCAGACATGCTATAGGGCTTTTTTATTGTTGCCTTGCTGTTTTAACAATTTCATGAAAAAAATATACAGTTCAGAATCTGGGACGGACCACCATCTGGATGGGGCTCAGGGGCAGCCGGGGGAGTGGAGGGGGCTGCACTCCTGGAAACCAAGCACCCCCGGGGCTCTGGGATCAGGAACAAGTTAGTGTCTGACTCAGGATCTGGCAGAAATGGAGGCTGGAGCGGCCACGCCCACCCGCCCCGGCTGGATCCTGTGGCAGCCAGCCCCGCCCCCACTGGCTGCCAGGGGACAGAGGCGGTGGGTCAGCCTGTTCCCAGGACAGAAAAGCCATCATCAGTTAACCCTGGGACTCACACCCGGGCTCCTACGCAATCCCTTGAGCAGGGTTAGAGGACATCGGCTGACATCTGCAATTCAGAACAACAACAAATAACTTTTTAATATAAGCATGTTCCGTATGGCAAGGGGGCATGCTTATACCGAAAAACTATCCTTTTGTTTTGTGGCTAAATCTGGCCACCCTGCTACCTCTACCCGCAGGGCCCTTACCCCAGCAGCTGGCAAGAGGCCTGGGAAAGGAAGAAGTCGTCAGGGGGAGGGGGGAGAAGAGGGAATAACTCAGTCCAAAAAAAAGAAGCATTTATCTCCCCCAGGAATGATATATTACTTTTAAAAAAGTCATTTTTCAGAAATATTCTAACACACTGGACGCCTTCCGCTGTTAACAGCTATGGGTGGAGGGGGACTTGCACGCAGACACGCACCCCGTACCATTCTAGGTAACGTTCGGAAGCACCGAGTAAAGTGTCTGAAAGGATGTTCCCTCCGATGGCAGATCTGTCGCTGCTCCTGCTGCTGCTCCAGGGAGACGGCAACACACCAAGGAAGAGCGAACTAGAAACCCCGGGAGTTGCGCGGCCGCGACAGTCTGTTAGTGTCCTCGGGCAAGGCCCCGTCCCCCAAATTCAAGAAGCCCAGGGCTTCGACTCCCCGCCCTGTCCTCCTCCCCGGGAAGGGGCCGGGATTAGTGTTCAGGGCTGTCACTCCAGCTTTACTCCAAGGGCTCCAGGCTTCCTGTGCTGGGTGATGGGGCAGGCGGGGGAGGGAGGGGCCGGGACGCGTGCCCACCCCATGCCTCCCGTGACACACATTTACCGGGGAAGTCACTGTCAGGCCACAGCAGAGCTGGGGGCGGGGGCGGGGGTAGGAGAGCTGTGTCCTTAGCCCTGGCCAAAGGTCGCAGCTGAGCCGACCTGCCCCGCTGCAGGCGGCAGGCGGGAACTCAGGTGGACATCTGGCAGCCATCTGAGGCCAACGTGGAGGAAAGGAAACGGATTCCCGCTGTAAGAGCACAGCCCCGTCCCCTCCTACAGAGCTCAGGGAGGCCGGGCTGTGGGGCGATGTGAGGCACCAGGGCCAGCTCCCCAAGTCCTCCACGGGCCCCAGGCTCGGCCAGCGCCCCTCATCCCTGAGGCCCAGGGTCCGTGGCAGAAGCCAGGCTCTTGGCTGCCCCTGAACGGAAAGGGGGTGGGCTGGAGGCAGGGAGACGGGGCCAAGCGCGGGGAGCCACCTTGGCCGGCCTCACACTCGGATCTCATCCTCCTCCTCCTCATCCATGAAGGAGAACTCCTTGTCGGGCTGCCTGGGGAGAGCGGCCCGGGCCCCCTCCGGCCCCTGGAAGGCGGGGCTGCGCTCCTCAGAGCCCGGGGCTGCGGGGGCGAGTCCTGGCTGGCCTTGCCTTCCTGCCTGGCCGGGAGAGGGGCCCCCGACCCAGAAAGGGGAACCTTGGGGAGACTGCCCGGCTCCTCGTCGCCGTGGTAACCGCCATCCTCTTCCTCTGGATCCCACTCCTCCTTGTTCATGATGCTCAGGACGTCGCCCAACATGGAGGGCCCCAGGTCGATGTGGAAGGACATGATGGACTCCGCGTGCTTCAGCCCGAAGCCGGCCTTGGGCATGATGGGCAGATCCGTCAGGTCCCCGAAGGCCCGCTCGTCCAGGAGGGGGTCGAGGGAGTGGGGGGAGGTGGCCCCGTTCCGCCGCCGGGGCACCTCCTCCCCCCGGGCCGCCTCCGGGTCACCCTCCCCGCTGTCGGCTTTCTTCACGGGGCTGGACGACAGGCTCTTGGGCAGCTTGCCGGCGCCCCGCTCCGCGGCCTCCTTCTCGTTCAGCTGGGGCAGGGACATGGCGTTCTTGACAAACAGGGCCGAGTCCCGCAGCGAGCCCAGCATGTCCCTCTGCTCCCGGTCCCCCCGGGTCACCGACTGCGACCGCTTGCTGCCCCGGAACTTCCGGGACAGGAGGCCACGCTTGGAGGATGAGGTGGACGCCTGCTCGTCCAGGGACTCGCCCTCCAGCTCCCCAGCCTTGCTGTTGAGGAAGGAGGTGTCCCCAAAGGCGTCCCCCGCCCGGCCCACGTGCATGGTGTGGCGGAAGTCGCCCAGCGGCGCGCTGATCATCTCGGCCGTGAGGTCCGCGCGGGAACGGCGCTTGGAGTGCACGGAGCTGGACACCAGCTGCTTGAGGATGGGCATCGTGCCCGAGGGGAGGCAGGGCCTCGGAGGCTGCAGGGGAGGCTGGCGTCAGATGTGAGGTCCGGTGGGTGGAGGGGGCGATGAGGAAGGGCTCATGGGGCTGCAAGGAGAGAACAGCAGGAAAGGGTTAACCTGGGCTGGCCTCCTGCACACAAGCCCGTCTGCCAGCCCCGGGGCTGTTATTCAAACCCCAGCTCCCACCCAAAAGAAACAACAGGACAGGAGCCAGGGATCAAAGCTATAACCCCGCCCTCTTTCTTCACCCACAGGTTCTCGGGGGCGGGGACTGCTGTTTGCAAAGCTGTTTGGAGTTCAAGGAGCCGCAGACACACATTCCCTGAAACCTGAGAGAGAGAGAGAGAGAGAGAGAGAGAGAGAGAGAGAGCTTTCTTCCAAAGGAAGATACCGGCCCCGCCTTCCACACCTCCGCCCAGGCCCAGCCAGGATCCTGCCAGAGCAACAGGACCGCATTTAAGGAGGTGGAGGTGCAGCCCCGAGGCCACAAAGCAGTGAAGGAAAGAGTCAGCCGGCTCCCCTGAGGAGCGCGTCTGGAGACACGCGGGAAGTTCTTCCTGCTGTCTGACCTCGATCCCTGTGAAGCCAGTGGACACCTCAACCTGAGTCACCATCCTCAGAGGAGGGAGAGGACAGGACAGGCCCTAGGGCGCTGCTGCCTGGCACCTCAACCCACGTGGGCGGCCCGGCTCTTTCTGAATCAGAATTGGGGTGGGGTTGGCTGCAGGATTCACAGAACCAGCTCTCCAGCCTTGCAGTCCTTGCTGGGTGTCCCTCAGAGGAGGATGCCACCTGCGATGTCTCCATCGTGGGGGCCAAGCTCTTTGTCCAGGATCCACCCTCTGCCCCTGGGGGAGATCAAGACTGGGAGACTCTCTCCCAATTTCTTTAATCACTAGGGGTGCAAGGAGGCGGGGACCCCAGATGACCCAGCTCCCTGGGATCTGTGAATGGCAAAGGGCCACCTGAAAGCATGAGGCACCATCCAGGCAGCTCCTGGCAAGGGTCAAGTTCAAGTTCAGTGTTGGAGCCAAACGGGCCCCTTTCCCTCAGGAGGGACCTGCCCCAAATGTTAACCCCAAGAGCATAGGACCGAGCAGGGTGGGGAGAGATGGGCACAGGGACTTAGCAAAATATGTGGGTGAGGAGGGGATCTGGGTCACCAGTCCTGCTAAGAGCACCGTTCTCAACAGCACCCTCATTGTAGGCCCATCCTTCCCCCATGCCAAGTTCAACCCGTGGGTGCCCCCCCCCAATTCTCCCTCCCTCCTGGCCCCCGCTACTTCCCCAAGCTAGGCCACCGCCTCCCACCTGCCCCGACATCAGCCCAGCAGGCCTCCCTGCTGCTCCTGTCCCTTTCTAGTCCATTAGCTAAAACAAAACCCTATCGGACTCCCCAGGGCAGACGCCCTGGTCCAGCATCGGTCGCTGCATCCCCACTCGATGCCACCGCTCGCCACTCCCCTATGCCCGCACTGCCCCGGCCCTCTCCTGGGCTCCAGGACTGGACACACGCAGTCCCCGCTGGGATACCGTCACCGGGCTCACCCAGCATCTTTCTTCTGGGAGATCGTCCTTAGCCAGGTAGAGTCCTGCCCGCCTCCTCTCCTTCCATCCCCTTCCCCCCCAGCAGGCACAGTTACACTGTCCCACCCCTGCCGGCCGGACTGCAATCCCCCCCCTGGGCTGGGAGCTTCCAGAGGGTTCCGACAGGCCTGCTCACCGCCGGATCCCACCTTCCAGTACAGCGGTCGCCAACCGGTGGTCCGCGGGCCACTGTGGTCCTTGAGGTCCGAAAGGCTGGTGCCTGCTGTTCCAGTGCATGGCACAGCTGGCCTCACCCCCCCCCTCCTCCCCAGCCCGAGTGTCTCCCTTTCGCCTTCTCGCGGCCAAGGACAGTGCTGGCTTCGCTTCCGCCGACGGCCCGGCTCCAGGCTCCCGGCCTGACCTCTCTGTCCCCTCCAACCCCATCCCACGCTCTCCTCTGGGCCCAGCTGCTGAGGCCAGTCTCATGGCTCCCCCCTCCAGCAAGTGCCCCTCCTCCCCGCAGGCGGTCACACTGCTCCTCACTCCAGCAAAGTTCTCCAGGCCCCAGGGCAGCCCTGCCGCCAGCACAGGGGACCTGGCCGGCTTGGAGCCAGGTGAGGACCGTGCCGGAAGGCCTTGGCATGACCCACCATGCCGGGCAGCTCTCCCTCCTCGCTCTCTTCTTCCTCCCATCCAACCTCAGGAAAGCAGCTTCTCCTACCCTACCCTGCACCCTCCTGCTGCCCACGCCCTGGGACCTGACCTCTCAATAATGAGCCAGAAGCAGTCAGACCAGGGACTGGCAGGCACTTTCTTTCTTTCTTTCTTTTTTTTTTTTAAAACCACCCCAAAATGGATTCTCTTTTTTTCCCTTTAATGTATTTTTATTGATTTCAGAGAGGAAGGGCGAGGGAGAGAGAGATAGAAACATCAATGATGAGAGAATCATTGATAGGCTGCCTCTTGCAAGCCCCCCGCTGGGGATCGAGCCCACAACCCTTGACCGGAATTGGACCTGGGACCTTTCAGTTCCCAGGTCAACGCTCTAACCACTGAGCCAAACCGGGGAGGGCTGGCAGACATTTTCTACGGAGGGCCGGACAGTCGAGATTTCCGCTCTGCGCCTGGAAGCGTTTTCGCCGTAGCTATGCAACTGTCTTTGCAGTAGGAAAGCAGCATCGGACTCCATGTGAACGAACGGGTGTGGCTGCGTCCCAGTAAAACTTCATTTCCCAAGACAAGCGGCGGGCCGGATTTGGTCTGGGGGCCATAAATCAGACCCCCTCAATCAGACACATGAAGGGCACTGGCCGTGGGGTCCTCCCCTCACCACTGCTCCAGGCCTCCGGGAGGTAGCGTCCCTGGTCAGCTGCCAATACCCCAGGAGCAGCCCTCCCCACATCCGGCTGCGAAGGGCGGAGTCCGGAGAAGGGAGGGGCCCGGCTGCTCCCTGGAGAAAGTTCTAGTCTAACCCTGGAGCATTCTGGCTCTTGGAGCCCAATGATCATTCCTTGTGGCGGGGCTGTCCTGTACGCGGTAGGATGTTAAGCAACATCCCAGGCCTCGACCCATCCGATGCCAATTGCATCGCTTCCCCAGCCGTGACAACCAAAACGTCCCCAGAAATGGCACGTGTCCCCTGGGGGGCAGCATCACCCCTAGTCTAAGAACTGCTGCCCGGAAGTGAGGACACGCAGGTGAAAAAAAGCCGGTGAACAAAGGTGAACAAACAGGAAGAGAAAAAGGGGGAGGGGCGGGAGGGGAGGGGACATAAAGAGTCAGACTGGTGGGAACATGGACATGACGCCCAGAGTCCCTCGGGGGTTTCGACACACGGGCAGGAATCCCCAGGCCCAGAAAGCAACTTGCAGCCTGTGGTTTCCGATCTCGAGTGCTTGTTAGAGAACAAAAGGGAAACCGCAGGCCCAGCTGCCCAGGGCTCAGCGGGATGACGCGGACCCTGTGGCCAGCCACAGGGATCGGGTACCCCGGCCACACGGCCACAGGACAGGGGGTCTCCTCGGAGCACACCCTCCCGCCAGGGCTATGCAGCGAGTGACAGTCCGCAGAGAAACCCCTAGACCAGCCGCGGGGCACCCAGGGTCCTGCAGGGCCCGACACCCCAAGAAGGCAGAGGCGGGTCTGGCCTCTCTGGGGGCGGGCACGAGGCTCTGTGGCTTGTGCAAAACCAACCATCTTCCATATCCAGCATGAAAGGGTCCCGAGAGGTGGGGCCTAGCTGGTCCCACACCCCAGTGAGGAGGCGCTGCAGGACCTACTGTCCCAGGGAGGGGCTGGGGCTCTGTGACCCTAGAGCTGGAGAGCAGACTGGACAGGCCAGGCTTGAGGGCTGGTGGGAACTCATGGGGCTGTTTCAGGCCCCCGAGTGACAACTTCATCCTAAGCTTCTAACACAGCGGTTCTCAACTTGTGGGTCGCGAAGAGTCCAATCCCCACCCCGGTCTGAACGTGACCTTATTTGGCAGTTGGGTCTTTGCAGAGGTAGTTAAGGATCTCCAGGTGAGATCACCCTGGAATTAGGGCGAGTCCTAGACAGAGGACAAGAGGGAGAGGTGAGACACCCCGGTGAGGCCGAGAGAGGAAGCCCACAGTTCCAGGAGGAGGCAGGTCAGCCACTGACCGCGGGAGGCCGAGGGAGGCCGGCCAGCGCGGGAGCCAGGAGGCGGCCTGGGCCGGCTTCTCCCTCAGAGTTTCCAGAAGGAACGCACCCTGCCCACACCCTGATCCCGGACCTCGGGCCTGCAGAACTGAGAGACAATCAATGCCTGTGGTTTTGAGCCACCACCGTGTGGGCAGCCCCGGGAAACGAATTCGTCTTCACTTAGACTCAGTTCCAGAGGACCTGGCCCCTTTTACAGACCAGCAAATAGAGGCACAGAGAAGCTGGGTGCCTGCCAAGGTCCCTCACCTGATTGGTGTCCACTGGGAGCCTGCCCTGGTCTCCCACCCGCAGGCCCTCTGTCTTGCTCAGACAGGGGGGGCTGTACCCCCTTCCCCCGTTTACTAGGATATGACCACCTCAGGCTTCCAGGTGAGCCGGCGCCCACTGTCTGGCAATGCCCTGGAGAGGGGCTCTGGGGCGTCCCCTCTGGACCCTCACAACCTGCTCTTCTGTGCCCAGAGCTCATCCCCTCCCGGAGCTCATCCCAGCCGGGTGTCTGCGCTGATTAATGACCTGGTGGCTGCCGAGTGCAGGTGCGGATCGCTATGCACACGGTGGTGTCAGTTTTAATCACCATCATCATGAGCCTCGCATCCACCTCCAGCTGCAGGTTTCCTGAGTCATCACCGGCCCCCTTCCCTTCATACACGAGCTGCTCTGGAAAGCAGGGGTGCGGGAGCTCTAGAATCCTCCGGCCGCCGGGAACTGGCAGAGGCCACTGTGCCCAGCCCCCCGGCCTTCATCAACCCCGGCCAGTGCTTTGCTGGGCAGAATGGGGCCTCACCCTCCTTTCCGGTCTCTGTGCATCCGCCTCACTCCCCCCTCGGGCACCCTGAAAGGGTGGCATCGGCCAGGCCCGGTTCAAATCCTGTTGCTAAGTGGCTGTAGGACACCAGGGAGCAGTCCTTCCCCCCAGGAGGACCGTGCTGTGAGGCACCCAGACCAGGTGTGGCCTGTGCTCAAGGCCCCACGTGTCCTGCCCCAGGTCCCTGTTGCCTCCCCTCCTTCAAGTTGGCTGTTCCTAAGGAGCTGTGGACAGGGATTCCAGGCTGTTGGGATGCTATTGAGGGGGCTGCCCTACGTCCACTAGGGATGGGCCTGGCAGCTGGGTACCATGGTGTTGGGAGGGGATGGGGGGCAGGAG